CTCAATTAAAGACAGAATTTGTTAGTAGTGACCTGCCTTATCAGACATATTGTACTAGAGGAGGTCATTAGAACTGAGAAGAAAACGCCAACTGGTAACTAGAATCTACATAAAGAAATATCACTGGAAAATAAAAATAAGTGGGTAACTGGAAAAAATTATACATTTTTCATTTCTTTTTTTAATTTTTAATTTAAAAGACATGATTGCATAAAACAATAATTATAACAGTATCTTTTGGGGTTTGTTGCATATATATATATATATATATATAGCTATAAGAAGACAATAATAGCATAAAGGAGGGGAAGGAAATGGAACAATATTGTAGAACATTTTTTACATTTTACCCAAACAAATTTAGTAATAATCTGAAGTAGACTGTGATAAAATAAGAGCATATTACAGAAGAATTCTACAGAAACAATTAAGAAACAACTTTTAAAGATAAAATCAATAAAATAATTAAAATGGTACACTAAAAAATTTCTATTTAACACAAAAGGAGGCAATAAAGGAGAAACAGGAACAAAATCAACATGAAATATATAGGAAAAATAGAAAACAGAAGACATAAATCTAACCCTATCAAAATTATACATAAATTGACAAAGGCACAGATTGTCAGACTGGATTAGAAAAAAAAAGACAATCTCCAACTATATGCTGTATATAGAAGACACATTTTAGATGCAAAGGCACAAATAATTTGAAAATCAAAGGGTATAAGAAAAAACACATAGTACACAATTCAGGAGGTAGCTGGTATGCGTACATTAACAAAGATGAAGATGAGAAATGTTGGTAGAAACAAAGAGGGATATTTCATAATGTTTAAAGGGTCAATTCATCAGGAAGATATAACAATTATAAACACAAAATACTTAACAGAGCACCAAAATACAATAAGCAAAATTGACAGAATTAAAAAGAGAAACAGAAAATTCATCTATTAATGTATGGAGACTTTAAAACCTCAGTCTCAATTGATAGGGCAACTAGAAAGAAAATCAGCCATGACATAGAAGACTTGAACACTATTAACCAATTTGACCTTCTATTTATATAACACTCCTCCCAATGTCAGAAGAATACATATTCCTTTCAAACCTGAGGATGGATCATATGCTAGACATAAAACAAATTGCAATAAATTTCATAGGGTAGAAATCATATGAAGTATGTTCTCTAGTCACAACAAAATAAAATTAAAAATTAGAAAGACATTTGAGATGGCTCCAAATATGTGTATATTAAGTAACACACTTCTAAAAACAGTGGAAATTATAAAATATTTTGTGGTGAATGAAAAGTAAAATACAACATATCATTTATGGGATGCATCTGAAATAGAGCTTAAGGGGAAATTTATAGCTGTAAATAGATATATGAAAAAAAAGATCTCAAATCAAAACCCCAACTTTAGGGGCTGGCCGAGTGGCTCAGTTGGTTAAGAGTTCGCTCAAGAGTTTGAGCTCTGAGCAACAGTGGTTCGATGCCTGGCCTGAGCTGAGCTGCCGCTGAACTGCCAACAGGTGGCAGGATGGCTCAGCTAAAAAACAAAAAACAAAAACAAAAGAACCCCAACTTTATTCTTTCAGAAACTAGAGGCACAAACTGAATTCAAAATAAGCAGAAGAAAATTATAGTTTAGAGTAGAAATAAATAAAATAGAAAATAGGAAAACAGAGAAAATGAATTCCAAAACTGATTATTTGAAAAGACCACCTACACTGACAAACGTTTAGCTAGACACACCAGGAAAAAAAAGAGACTTGATACAAATTAGTAAAGTCAGGAGTGAAAGAAGAGATATTTTACTGATTTCCCAGAAATTAAAAGGATTATAAGGGAAAACCTAAATAATGATATGCCAACAAACTATATAACTTAGATGGACAAATTCCTAGAAGGGCACAAATTACCAAAATTTTTTAAAAAGATTTTATTGGGGAATTGTGGTAGGGGAACAAACAAGTTGTTGTCCTTTTGTTCTTCAGTCTAGTTGTGGAGGACCTCGCTTCACTGGCCCATGTTGGTATTGTGATGATTGCGCTCTTCCCTGCTAAGGCAGATCGGTCGCCGGCCCTTGGACGGCCTCTCTCGGTGGCTCACAGCAGCTAAAGCCGTCTGCTGGCTGCTCACGGTACCATACGGCAGCCCAATGCAGCCTACGCCATCGCCAGGAACTCATGGAAGCCCAGCTCCAGGTTGAGATGTTGTTCACCACCTTAGCTATAGAGGGCAGAGTGTCACTGGCCCATGTGGGATCCGAACCGGCGGCCCTGCTGCTCAGAGCTAGTGCTCCCAAGCCAACTCTTAACCAATGAGCCACTCGGCCAGCCCCACCAAATCTGTTTTAAGAAATAGATATCTGAATAGACTTATAACAAGTAGAAAGATCAAATTAGTCATTTAAAATTTCCCCACCAAGAAAGCTCAGGCTTAGATGCTTAGTTCTATCAAAGATTGAGAAAATGAATACTAACATTTCACAAATTTCCAGAAAATAGGAAATTTCAAGAGGAGGAAACACTTCCCAGGGCCAGTGTTACCTTGATACCAAAGTCAGACAAAGATATCACAAGAAAAATACCAAATATTAGCAAACCAAATTCAGCCACATATAGATGAAAAGTTATATACCATGACTAAGTAAGATGTATACAAGGAATGCAAGGTTTTAACATTTAAACATCAAATAACGTAATATACCATGTTAATAAATGACAAGAACCACCTCAATATACATATGCAGAGGGAAAAATCATTTGAGAGAATCCAATATTTAATTACGATTAAAAACTCTCAACATACTAAGGCTATAAGGGAACTTCCTCAACCTGATAAACTGCATCAAAACCTGCGCTTAATATCCAACTTAATGGGAAAGGACTCAATGCTTTCCCCTTAAGGTCAGAAACATGGCAAGCATGTCTTGCTCTCACCACTCCTGTTCGACACTGTAACTTATACTAGAGGTTCTAGGCAATAAAAAGTTGGGGAGAGAAGTGGAGAGTTATTGACTGAATGTTTGTGTCCCCCCCCACACACAGCCTCAACTAATTTATATGTTGAATCCCTAACCCCCAGTATGGCTGTATGTAGAGTAAGAAAATAATTAAGGTTAAATGAGGTCATAAGAGTGCGGCCCCTGATCCAACAGGATCAATGTCCCTACATTAGCTTCCAGAGACTCATTTTCTCTCCACATCTGCACGCAAAGAAGAGGTCAGTTGAACACAGCCATCCATAAGCAAAGATAAGAGGCCTCAGAATGAAATTCACTTCACTAGCACCGTGATCTTGGACTTCCCATCCTCTAGAACCATAAGAAAAAATAATGTTTGATGGGTAAGGCACCCAATTTCTGGTATTTTGTAAGACAATTTGAGAAAACTAATATAGGAAGGAAAGGAAGTGAGGAAGGGTATCCAGATTGGAACAGAGAATGTAAAATGATATTTATTCATGGATGACATGATCCAATTTTAAAAGGTTTCAGGATACAAAATCAATATACAAAAATCAGGGCTGGCCGAGTGGCACGTTGGTTAAGAGTTGACTTGGGAGCGCTAGCTCTGAGCAGCAGGGCCCTGGTTCGGATCCCACATATGAGGGCCAGTGACTCTGCCCTCTACAGTTAAGATGCTGAACAACAGCTCAACCTGGAGCTGGGCTGCCGTGAGTCACTGGCAATGGCGTAGGCTACAGCCACTGCTGCAGTGGGTTGCCATGGGCTACCGTGTGTAGCCAGCAGCCAGCAGCCAGCGTGAGCGGCCAGCAGCCGCCGTGAGCAGCCGTTCAGAAGCTGGCGACTGATCTGCCTCTCCTGGGAAGAGCACAATGATGGTACCAACTTGGGCCAGTGAAGCAACGTCCTCCACGGCTAGACTGAAGAACAAAAGGACAGCAACTTGTCTGTTCCCCTTCCCCCAGTGCTGTTCCAATTCCCCAATAAAAATCTTAAAAAAAAGAAATTTAAGGTAAATAGCAACCAGAACATAAAGTACATATGACTCTTTACAGAATATGGCCAAGGATGTATACAGAGGAAAATGCATAGCCTTTCTTATTAAACAAGAAAGAATGAAAATAAATGAAATTCAACTTAAGAAGCTAGAAAAAAGGAGAAAATATTTTTTAAATATCATAAAAATTGAAAGCTGAAGTTAATAAATTAGAGAAACAGAAAAAGCAGACTGATAAATCTAAGAAGTGGTTCTCTTAAAAAACTAAACCCCTGAAAACTAATGGAAAAAAACAGCCTCTTCATTGGTTATGAAGAATACACATATACAAAGCTTACATGCTTCCAAGAGATAGATTTATTTATTTATTTATTTATTTATTTATTTATTTATTTAAACTAGAGATTGTGGTGGGGTGTGTTGAATGGCTTCACACAGACAAACCATAGGCAGACAACTTCAAGTCACACCTTGGATTTTGGTGTTTTTGTCTTTTTGGTTGGTATGGGGTGAAAGAGGTTCTCCTTGCCCATTCAAGCCACATAACACCCAGTCTTCCAACACCTCACCAGCTCCTCAGTCACCTACTCTTTTCCTCTTACATTTTCTCATACTGACTTAGTTTATCTCCTGTGTTGCTTGGACATTTCACAACATGCATGCCCGTAGCTACTTAAGCAAGATGTTACACACACACACACACACACACACACACGATAGTTCTTCCTGAAAGATGAACGCTGGGGCCAAGGTAAAAGAAATACACCTAGGAACATGTCCTTTTCACCTTTCAGGAAGGACAGGGAATTGCAGGACATGGAGTGAGTGCTTCTGGCATGGTTCTGCCCTGCATCTAGCACTACTTGCCTACCCTCCTAGGACCCCAGGGCAGGAGGGTAGATATAGGCTAGGGGAGATGTCCTGTTCAAGAACTGGCCATCTGCCCTGATATCTCCCAGCAGGTGACTGGGCAGCCTAGGTGGGGCAAAAGCCTGGAACCTCTGCACCTGGTGAGGAAAGATTGCCCACCTGGATCAAACTGTGCTTCTGGCCCTTGTTCTTCAGCATCATAGTGTCCCACCACTGTAGATACTTCTCTTGGTGGGCAAGGATTTCATAAGTGAGGGTGGAATTCCGACCTCGGAAGTCCTCAAGATTGGGGGCAGGAAGAGGTGACATGGCCAAAAATTTTCTATCTGTGACTTCTTCTTGTGAGATGGGCAACCCAAACTCTTGGCTCAGGTCTTTGATCATGGTGGAGGAAGGCAGCAGATCTCTTGTGATCACCTCCTTAAGCTTGGTGCTGTGATGGCAGATGCAGTGGATCCTGGAAAATAGAAGGGCCACCCTCCTCAGCCTCACCAACCTTGCAAGATAGGTCATCCCCACTTTACAAGGGGAAATGAAAACTAGAGAGGTTGACTAGCTCATCCCAGGTCACAGAGCTTGACTGTGAGGAACTTAGATTCCAATAAGTGGGCTCACAAGGGGAAATGCCTCCTGTGCTCTCTCCTCCCAGCTCCTGAAGTTAAAGGCTTCTAATCTTTTGCTCTGGTTGTTTTTCTGCTACTGTGGCCTTATTCTATGCCTCTTACTAATCACTGGGGAGCAGCCCCAGCAAGATGGCTGTGAAGAGTGTTGACCTCAGAATTTGTTCCCCAGGAGGAGGGCACTGTGCACATAGCCTCATGTCTTAGCAAAGCTCAAGGACTGAGCTGTTATGCATGCTCCACCCTGAGGACTCCCCCTCACTGCATCTTCCCAGGGCCTAGCATGTAGCAGGCACTTGATGCACACCAATACTCTCTGGAATACATGTGGGAGGTGTGTTTTGCTGCTCACTGTCTCTGCTGCTTCTGAGGTATGGCATGAAGTGAATGCCTGAGGATGATTGATTGGGCTGTTCTTGTCACGAGCTGAGTTCCCTGGCCCACTACTTGGCCTTTCTGAGCTTCTGTTTCCTGACTTTTCAGATGGGAATAAAGCTATAATGGATGTAACTAACTAGGATACAGTGAGCACTTCTTCCCTTCTCCTAACAGCTTCTTCCCTTCTAACAGAACCCTCCAGCTACTCCCTATCACCCACCAGGCACGATAGGGTCCACCCTCTCAGTTGATCACCACGACTCTGGATACTCCAATGCTCCAGCGCCTGCACAACATGAGTCTCCTGCTGTGCCACTTCCTGTCTTGCAGCTTTGGCTGCTGTTTTGGGGTTATCCAGTATACATTTGCCCAGCCCCTTGGGTAGGGCTGTGTGTGGAGGGTTGGGGAATAAAGGAAAGCATTCTCAGCCCTCACTGACTTTTCTTTCCCTGTGTCCCCTGTGCTCTCTCCCTTTCTCTCCCTCTCCTCCCTCCATCCTCTCTTTTATTGATACATTCAAAAAGCACAAGCTGAGGGCCAACTCTTGGACAAACCTATTGCTAGTTCTAAAAATATAAAGAGATGGTTTGCACCTCCTTCCCCAAACTGACTGTGAGTAGATTGTCCACTTGGTGAATGTCTGCTTGCTCCTTCTTAAGGTCAGGCTTTCCTAAACTCCTGAAAGAACTGGCCATGGTCCTTTACTGCCCCATTGAGTCTGGCACAGGCTAGCTATGGTCCCACGTACCCCACCACTTTGTCAGTCTCCACTTCTAAAGAGAGTCTGCTTCTCTAAACCCTCCACCTGGAGCAAGCACTAGAAAGTGGCCATTCTGTACATGAATGGAGGAGCTCTGCAGGCAAGCGTGAGCAATACAACTCAGCAGGAGGAGCACACAGCTGCCCAGGGTGGGGATGCCCACCACTGAGGGCAGGGAGGTCACCAGCATTGGAACAGAAGGGTAAAGGGGTACAAGTAGTGAAAGATCAAGATCTTTGGAGATGGGGTTTCTGAGGAATAGGGAGGGGGAGTGGAACAGGGCTTAGGGGATGAGCAGACAGAAAATAAAACATTGGTTAAGAGAGAAAGATATTGTTGGCCTGGTCGGCCTGGCAGTTTCAGTCCTCATTGTTTCCCCATAACTCACTGGGAAAATGGGTTTTAACCAGTTTTTCAATCATCAGGCTATTCTACAATATTCCCTAAATACAGCAGATATATTCACATGATATGTGTTTGAATAAACTGTCTTTATTTCACCAATATCTTTCTCAAACTCTCTTCAGAAAGCATGTGAAACAGTGGGAAGGACACTGGCTTGGGGGCTTTGGAATTGCACCCACTCCTGCCTAGACTTCTTTGGGCAAAAAGAATAAAAACTACACCTGAAAGGGTCACTGTGCTGCTCATGGTGGCCACCACAGGCAGGCCTGCTGCTACTGTCCTGCAGCAGGCTATGGCACACACCTGGTAAGGGCCTGGGAGGCCTCCTGTGGCACGGCATTGCGAACATAGAGTGCGGTGTGCTTCATGAGCTGTGACAGCGGCTGGAAGAGGTGCACGTGGTATAGGATGGTCTCCAGGTCTGCGTAGAGGCGGTGTTGGAATAACAGCTGAGAGTTGTAGAGGACTTTGCATTTCCTATATTCTGATTTGGTCATTCTGCAAGAGAAGGTCACAGGATAAGCCTTAGCACTACTCTGCAGGCTCTTGAAATACTTTGTGGTTTTGCTCTGGCTGGCAGAGCTTTTGTTTAAAAGCTTAAGGGTAGGGGGGTGTCAGAAGCCTGGCAGTATGAGAGGTCTCTTTGATCTCCCTCCTTGAAGTTACAACTACTTAAAACAGCTAAAATTCAATAAAGAATTCCCTGTGCAATACACATACACATCTGAAAGATCTGCTCATTGAAATATCTGAAGATGGGTAAATCAGGGAGAACAGGGAAGGAGGTAAGAGGGAAGAGCAGAGATGTAGGCTATAGATACAGCCCAGAGCTCACTGTGGTCCCAGAAGAGGGAGGATTGAAGGAGCAGGTGCACTCCCGGTGGCCCTGAGAGTTCCTGCCTGAGTGATCAGCATATAATATGGCTGAACCCAGCGATTAGGGCAGAGACCTCAGGGCAGAGACTAAATACATAAATGTGACAGCTGTGGTCTATCAGCCCTCACTGCTAGGCAGAAAACAAAGCCATGGAGCCTGGCTGCTTCCTCCACCCTCCCAGAACTAGCCATGGGCCCCAGAAGAAACTGTAGAAGTGAGAATCAGGTTACAAAGCAGAATATCTACAACCCCGAGAACTGGATAAACAGTTCCTGAGAGGAAGATGCACACTGTGGCTAATCCTAGTGACAAGTATGGAGATAACAGAGGCAGCTGAGGTCTGGCAGTCACCATTGCTAGGAGGACACAATGCCACAAACTCACTAGTAGCCTCTTCCAGCCCACTACACCCCACCCCAAAGCATCACAGCTGGTCCCAGCAGGGTACCTGGGACTCTTCAAGCAGCATAGCACTGCATCTGGCTGTAGGGGCAGCACTTTGATTTCAGAGGTTCATATTCCCATCACCCACCACATTTGCCCATGAGGGTGGTGCCCTGAGACCAAGGTGACCTGGTCACAGAGGATACATCCACCTCCCCAGGGAATACAAAGACATTTTTCAACTCTCAGTAGAGATGTACAGGACTAAATAAAATGCTCCAGCACCACCTGTTGAAAAACAAAAAGACTTCTTATCAACCAGCTGCAGAGCTCACTCTGATATGCCTAGGCTGAGAAAGAATCCATCAAATACCATGAACAACCAAGGCTTGAGGCAGCCCTGAAAAAAAAGAAAAATCTCCAGATAGTAAATTCAAACATGGAAATACAGGACTTAACTGACAGAAAATTCAAGACTGCAGTTCTGAAAACACTCAATGAGGTTCAAAAAGACAGGCAGTTTAATGAACTCAGAAATAAAATCAGTGAACAAAAGCAAATTTTACCAAAGAGATTGAAACTTTAAAAAGTAACCAAATAGAAATCCTGGAGATGAAGAACTCAATAAAAGAAATAAAGAATAAAATAGTTATCTTAGTAAACAGAGCAGACCAGATGGAGAAAAGAATTAGTGATATTGAAGATAGAAATCTGGAAATGATGCAGATGGAAGAAGAAAGAGATATGAGATAAAAAAAAGAAAGAACTCAAGAACTATCTGAAACCATCTGAAAGAGCAATATAAGAATAATAGGTATATTAAAAGGAGAGGATAGGGAGAAGGGAACAGAGAGTCTATTCAAACAAATAATCAATGAGAACTTCCTACCCATGAAAAGAACTGGATCTCTGAATCCAAGAGCAAACAGAACATCTAAAATCCAAAAAGATCTTCTCCAAGGCACATTATATTTGAAACTGTCAAAAATTAAAGACAAACTATTCTCAAGTCAGACAGGGTAAAGAAGATGGTAATCTACTGTTGCCTGAACCCGATTTCTATTAACATGCCCCCCCGCATTTAGCCCCTTTACCCATTAGTAAGAGAGAAAAGCCACGGTATGACCGGAGACTGCATTCTCTCTGAGGGGGTGCCCCGGTATGACCGGAGGCCGATCTGAGGAGTGTCTCTAGGTGCGACTGGGACCTGTTGGAATGCTAAACAGTTAATCTCCTCTGGGAGGACATAGTAACCAGGTGTCCTGGGGCTATGCGGCGGATATGTGAAGGCATAGCATTTGCTGGAACATAATGGGATATGTTAAAGGAAAAGGCTTTGAGGCCCAGACCCCAAACGGATGCTAATTTGATTGACAGCAGTAAAGCAGTTTCACTTCTTTTCTAATTTCTCAATAAAAGCCATGCGCTGACCCGATTCGGGGCTCACTCAGTTTCTCTGACTGAGTCCCTTGGTCTCGCTCTTAACCTTACTTTTGTCTCTGTCTCTTTATTCAATCTACGCCGCCCCTCAAGAGAAACCCGTTTGCCCTTGCCACGCTGGACGTGACAATCTACAAATTAAAACCCATTAGATTTTCATTGGAATTTCCAGCAGAAACTGTACAAGCTAGGAGAGAGTGTAATAAAATATTCAAATGATTGAAAGAGAGAAAATACCAGCTGAGAATAATATATCCAGCAAAGTTATCCTCTAGATATGAAGGAGGAATAAAAACCTTGCCAGGGCCGGCCGAGTGGCATTATGGTTAAGAACTGGCTTGGGACGCCAGAGGGCCCCGGTTCGGATCCCACATATGAGGGCCGGTGACACTGCCCTCCACAGCTAAGATGCTGAACAACAGCTCAACCTGGAGCTGGGTTGCCATGAGTCGCCGGCGACGGCGTAGGCTGCAGCCCCTGTGGCAGTGGGTTGCCATGGGCTACTGTGTGTAGCCAGCAGCCAGCGTGAGGGGCCGTCCAGAAGCCAGCGACTGATCTGCCTCGCCCGGGAAGAGCGCAATGATGGTGCCAACTTGGGCCAGTGAAGCAACGTCCTCCACAACTAGACTGAAGAACAAAACGACAGCAACTTGTCTGTTTCCCCTTCCCCCAATTCCCCAGCACTGTTCCCTTCACCCCAATACCCCAATAAAACAATTTAAAAAAACCTTTCCAGACATGCAGAGGCTGAGGGAAATTTCCACCACAAGGCCTGCATTACAGGAAATACTGAAAGGGGTTATTCTACCTGAAACAAAAAGACAAAAAGATACAAAAGTATGAGTAAGGTGACTAACAGACTGAAGCATAAAATTGCAACCCTTTTTCAGAACAAGGCACTGTACACTTAAATGTAGAATAAAGGTTAAAGGAGGTAAATTTTTAAAAAAAGAGAGAGAGAGAAGAAGACTATAGCTACTGTAACTCAGAAATGAACTCATAAGGGGCCGGCTGAGTGGCTCAGGTGGTTAAGAGCTCGCTCAAGAGTGTGAGCTCTGAGCAACAGCAGTTTGATGCTCAGCCCAAGCTGAGCTGCCATCAGGTGGCAGAATGGCTTAGCTAAAAAAAAGAAAAAAAGAAGACATAACATTTATCAATATATATGCTCCCAATCAGAAAGCACCAAAATATATAAAGCAACTATTATCAGAACTAAAGGGAGAAATTGACAAACACACAATAATAAATACCCCATTGACAACTATGGATAGACATTTACAGAGCACTTCATTCTAGGACACCAGACTATATATTCCTTTCTAGTGTATATGGAACATTCTCAAGGATAGACCATATGTTGGAATATAAAACTAGCCTCAGCAAATTTAAGAAAATTGAAATCATACCAAGCATATTCTCTGATAACAATTCTTTGAAATTGGAAATAAAATGCAAAAACAAGTGGGAGGCTGGCCGAGTGGCGCATTGGTTAAGAGCTGGCGTGGGATGCCAGCTCTGAGCAGCAGGGCCCTGGTTCGGATCCCACGTGAGGGCCAGTGACACTGCCCTTTACAGCTAAGATGGTAAACAACAGCTTGACCTGGAGCTGGGCTGCCATGAGTTGCCGGCGATGGTGTAGGCTGCAGCCCCTACTGTAGTGGACTACCATAAAGCTACCATGAGTGGCTGGCAGCCAGCATGAGCAGCTGGCATGAGCTGCTAAGAGCCACCATGAACAGCTGTCCAGAGGCCAGTGACCAATCTGCTTCACCCAGGAAGAGTGCAATGATAATACCTACATGGGCCAGTGAAGCAACGTCTTCCACAACTAGACTGAAGAACAAAAGGACAGCAACTTGTCTGTTTCCCTTCCCCAATTCCCCACCAAAAAAAATCTTAAAAAAAAAACAAGAGGGAAAAACCACAAATATGTGGAGATTAAACAACATTCTACTAAAGAATCACTGGGGGGAAAAATAACACAAGGAGAGATCAAAAGACATATAGAAACTAATGAGAATAAAAATACATCATATCAAAACAATTGGGATGCTGCAAAAGCAGTAATAAAAGGTAAATTTATATCATTACAGACATATCTCAAGAAACAAATAAACAAACCCCAAACAAACAACCTAACATGACATCATAAAGAACTAGAAAAAGAAAAAATGAAGCCCAAAGTCAGCAGAAGAAAGGAAATAATAAAAATTAAAGCAGAATTAAAAGAAATAGAGAACCAAAAGACAATAGAAAAAGTTAATCAACAAAGAGTTGGTTCTTTGAAGATGAATAAAATTCACAAACCCTTGGAATCACTAATGAAAAAAGAGAAAAGACACAAACAAAATCAGAAATGAAAAAGAAGTTACCACGGGTACCACAGAAATACAAACGATCATACAACAATACTATGAAAAACTATATGCCACCAAATTCAATAACTTAGAAGACTGGACAAGTTCTTAGAAATATATAACCTTCTTAGACTGAATCGCAAAGAATTGGAAAATCTAAATAAACCAATCAACAGCAAGGAAATTAAAACAATCATCAAAAGCCTTCCAAAAAGGGAATAGACAGATGCTGTGCCAACTGCCTCCCAGGATCACACCACAATTACAAATAATTTATAAAATATTCAACCTTGGCAGTCCCCTGAACACTAGGTGAACAAAACCTCTAAATGAAGGACTTAAAGAGGAGGGCACGTCAAGTCTGGTAGGAGGGGCGGAGATGAGAGAGGGCGAACCCCGTGAGGGACACCTCAGCGGTGGGGAGGCTTCTCCGGTTGGG